TATGACCAATTGAGTATTTGAAAGCGGATGTCACTGGCTGAGAGCAACCACAGCAGTGCGGCTCGTAATGAAGCACAAGAGAGTTGATGTAGAGCTCACAAGCGATCCACCAATAACAGGGCTCTAGCTTATGGTTCACAGACTGCCGGCTACCTGGGTCCTCGCACCTGCGACTGGTACATCGACCAGGGGCAGTGGACCGGGACTCAATGCACGGGAGTATCGGAAGAAATTTGCGAGAAAATTTGGCATCATATCAAAGTCCCGTATCGTAGTTGACCGCGGGACGTCATTTGGGGATCTCGGTGCCGCATATGAGGCTTCGGTAGTGAGCCTTGCACGTCCCTGGACATCCACACACTTCCAAGCCGTGATGGAGATATTCAGCCTGAAGATAGTGCAAGTGTCAGTTCAAGTCCGCGCCGCGGCAGTCGGAGCGAGCCGCGAGTGAGTGACTGTTTGATGAGGCCTTGGAATGCTGCGGTTCTATTGAAAGGGTCATAGTTTTGATCGAGCAGCGTTTCAAAGCTGTCCCGAGGAATGTAGGGTTGAGACACCACACAGCCCCGGCTGTTTGGACACTGGGATTTAGTGTCGCAGCGAGTACAACAGCGGGCTGGACGGTGGTGCAGCAACTGCGCATCGTGTATGGTCAAGGTGTGTTGTTACTCAAAAGACTGGTTCGTCTGGCATGATCAACAAAAATGAAATCATTTGATGTGTACTCCAAAACACTGTTGGCACCAGGTTACCATTGCCGTCGATGCTGGGCTGCGGTATTGGAACCGCGGGTCACGGAGCCATGGTAGGCGTGTTGGCTGCCGCCATGATCGACCATCTTCATACCTTTGCAGAATGTTAAATATTGATCAATGTGAATCCCAAAGCCAGTTATGTATTGCTAGTGGCCGCAACGATGGAAACATTGACTTCAGATGCATTGTTCATCTCCTTGTTCCATATAAGCAATCGCGGATATACGATGGTCTAGTCATTATACAGTCGATAGGTAACGCCAGTAGGTTAGGCAGCCCACGTCTAATGAGAGCTGTTCGCGCCTTCACGGTCGCCATACACTGTCTCTGTGGCCTTCTCTTTAGTGAGAACGCTTGCACAGAGATTTACTTGCGATGAGGATAAATCAGGATCAGCGTTCTGCGCCGCAGCCCTGGAGCCTTGGATGTCCGTCCGGTTGTGGACCAGTAGAGTCTCTTGTGGACCAGTAGAGTCTCAGACACTCCCAGGTGTCAGAGCCAGCGGGCGGGATGATGGTCTGAGCGGGTCCTCCTGAACAACGAGCTGAGGTCACTTCAGTCGCCTCATTCCACAAGAGACGCCCGCCTACGGTGTAATTCTCCTTCCTTTTCCATTGTTTTCTTTTCAAATTCCTGCATGGCGTCTTCGTCGCGCAGCTAAGCGCTGTGATGTAAGAATAGTACAGACCGCCCCATGACAGTTGGTAAGCCAGGTCAGACATCGACTCTAATTTTATGGAGGAGGATTCGGCGCCCGCTGCAAGGAGCTTGGCTGGCTGCCTTTTCCTGCCAGCCAGAACCAAGGATCCGATATTGATACAGTGGAGGCTAGCCAGTCTTCTCCCTAGCCTTGCAGGCGCGGAGGCCGGGATGCGGCTGTCCGCGTGCAGCGAGGGAGTCTCAAGTGCCACGCGTGCCTGGGTTGTTCGGCACGCCGTCGGCCACTTCACATCTTGAGAGCAAACTGAATAACTTTGACATAACCTGGACAGGACAGCCCTTACCAGCCAAGTGCTGCTGCTGTTGCTGCTGCCAATGACGGTACCAATACCGCGTTCACAGTGAGGCGGGGACGCCCTCAATACGGAATAGTCTTTGTCTTGGCTTGCGCTTGGGGCAGCTGAGTTGTGTAAGTTGTGTACGGCGTGTGTAGGCTAAATGGACCCCAAAACGGAGGCGACTGTGTCCGGTGCTCGCTTAGTGATGAAAATTCCCCGTGCCGTGTGTACCGTAGTGCTTCTCTCGTCCATGCAAATCAAGCAATCTGCCAGTCCCTTGGGGCACCAAAGTAGTGGGTTGACTGAAGATTGCGCTGCTCATCAGAGCCACGCGCACATAATATGCCCCGTAGTTTGTGGGTATGTGCTGTGAGACATGGAGGGCGAGTGAGACATGTAAGCGACCCTCACACATGGTCAGGCCGTGGAATGGGAGAATGGGAGAGGATGGACTGTGTGGCAGGAATCAGTCTAGAAGGCCAGAGATTTGCCCTAGCCAGGCGAGCCTGGGCAATGTGCCCTACCAGCCTGTTAGAGCATTGCTCTCGTGGTCGACCTTGGCCCGGCGGTCTCTAGCCAGGGACAGTGCTGCACGCATGCACAGCGGAAGCCGGGTTCTGTTCGAAGGCCGGCTCGATTCGTTAGATCAGACGCACAAACGTAGGTACTGATGCGAGGAATGACACGACCAGAGATGATGATACAGGCTAGTGATGCCATCGATCACGTACGGTCACTCGTTGATTCTGAAGTGCTCATTGTGTTTTACACTTGTACGGGGGTGATCCTCACTAGCAGGGCCACGGTTGTTGCCGTCGTTCCCGCTACATTCCCCCCACAGCTCAAGATCCGCTTTACTACGCAGTACAGCACTATGTGTCTCCGCTCCGCAAGGAGAGGCCTGCCAAACGGACATGCCTAAAGACCCTCAGACCGTAGACAGTGGAGGAGGATCCCCGCCGTTGAAAGCATTGCCCTCTGGACGGGAATAAGGATCGGATAGAGCAAATCATCCGACGTCTTATCCTCGCTGTAACCGTGAATGATGCATCATAGCCGTAGCTCACAGGATTCAAGCAAGGAGTGACGCACGGTTGTTGAGGAGAGGTAGCCCTGTTCGCTGAATCCTCGAGGGTATCACGCGAAATCGATTCTCATCAAAGCCGGGAGGTCATGAATGTCGAGTTGCGAAGCCGTAATAAGCCACTGATGGGCAAGAGACCTGAAAGAACAAACATGATCGACTTCTGGGCGAGTGCAGTGATCTGATCTGATCTGCTCAACGAGCCACATATCAGACCGGCTCTGCAGGACGGTCGATGGCTGATGCATTGCGAGGTGGGATCACAGCACAGGACAGCAGCATTCTTGGGGTGAACAAGATAAGGCTAAGCCGAGAGTGTCATAGGGGCAAGCACGACCCACGTTTTGCAGACCCTACTACACAGTACTGCATAGCATGCCTGTATGCCTCTGCAGAAGACGTCCAAGAGGGTGTAGAGGGCGTTGAGTTGAGGGACCGCCGCAGCAGCTGGATTGGCCGGTGACCGAGTGGGAATGCTAGACGGCAGAGAGTCTGGAAATGAAAAGCGTGGCCGGGCCCTGGCACTGCTGCAGCACTGCTGCAAGACCTCGCATTCTGGCACCCTGGAGCACCCTGGAGCACCCTTCAGAGAGGCTTCAGCACCCTGGCTCTGGGGACTTTTATGATCGGCCCATGCCCAGCCTAACCGGCACTGGCAGGCAAGGTGGGTCCACTCCCCCCTCTCAGCCAACGGCAGGCCTCCGTGGCTTGCTCACTGACCAGGGCAGAGCAGGGACCCATGCAAGTGGAATGGCGACATTATACGGGTGCATTCACTGCCAGCCAGCTACATAGCTGTTAGGTAGGTACTTGTGGACAGTCTCGTCCCCTCGCTGACTATCGCGATATTCTCTTACCTACAAGGCAGTCTTACTACGCAGTAGATCGGATGCGGGTCGGCAGCTACACGTCGTAGGCTAACAGCTGCGTGCACAATGCAGACAAAACTACTGACGTCCAGAGCCGGTCTAGCGCCAGCCGGACCGGGCACCCCTAGTGTAGAAATATGGGGCCTGCGTGCTTCTACCACAGTACCGTTTGGACTGGCCCCGGTCTTCGCCCACTCTCATTTCGTGCCTTCCTGGCAATGAATGAATGCATGGCTCCTTCCCACACCCTCTTGGTCGTCTTCTTGTCCTGCTCCTGCTCCTGCTCCTGCTCTTGCTTGATCCTGAGGTCGGACAGTGTGGGTACTGTACAGTAAGATAGAGCACACTCTTTCCTCCAAGTACTGTTCAAGCCATCGGATCAGGGGGCTCTCCGCCATTCTCAGCCATCTAGTCTCTCCTCGGCTAACGTTGTCAACTTGGAAGACTCTTCACCTTGCGAGGGAGGCGTTTTGTTCTGTGTGTAAGGTAGCTACTCAGCTGCCACTGCATGTAGTTAGGTAGTTGGGTCGTTACACTTTTCGTTCAGTCGCTCTGCACTCTTCTCGAGTCGACAGCAGCGCCACCGGGTCCCGCAACTTGTTGGTTAAGGTTGGGCCGGTCTGCTAGGGTGACTGCGGTAGTGCGTTGAAACACTGCCCAGAGCGGGCGCCCCAATAGGTTGGCGCCGTGGCATTCCCACTGTCTGGTCTGGTCCGAACGGGCAATCCAGGCCTGTGGCACTGGGACTACCGTCTCCTCCCAGACTCTGCCAGAGTTCCCACTGTCCTCCCTCCCCAGCCATTCTCACTCGCCAATTTCCCACCCCTCAAACCGCTTCCCGTCTCCGTCGCTCGCCCAAACTCAAACCTTCTCCTTCCCATCCCCGACTCCACGCCCTCGGGTCGCTACTTACTCAGGGAAAGAAACTCTCTTCCTTGGGCCAGCACCAGCGCACCCTCTGCTGGCGATCGACTCGACACAGTCAATACACGACAATCGCCTTTGTCGTGTGCCAGCCGTCCCCAGCCAGGCGTCTTTCCCGGACAACTTACACAGCGCCGCCGGCAGTCGACTCGACAGGAGGCCCTCCCCAATCGACTGATCCATCGTTCGATTTGCCCTCGACACGGAATCTTTTCCCAACACTATCGCTCATCGCTTGCCATATCTCAAACCAAATTTGACTGTTTCCAATTCTCCCATTCTATTTGTTTAGGCTCGACTGGAGGACCCGAGACAATAAGAGGACGTCTCCAGCACTCGTCAGCTTACTTCAATTCAACGAACCGTCATCATGGTCGTTCCAGCCACCGCTGGCTCGCGAAAGCCTGGCGTGATCCACGAGAGAGTGACTAGAGGAGGCCGCAAGCTATTCTATCACCTGGACGTCATTCAACAGCCCGAGCGTGCTCGTGCATGCGGATCTGGACCCAAATGTAGGTGTCGGATGTGTGCTGACTGAACAAATATGGCATCGCTGACAAGGCTCTAGCCTCTGCCGACCGTCGACCTGTTGACCCGCCGCCCGTCGTAGAGCTTCGTATCTTCGAGGGTGCAACCATCGATCAGGCCAAGGACATTACATTTCTGTACAATGCTAACTTCTTCCTGTTCGCAACGCTTGAGCACTCGCGGCAAATCGCTCACGGAAGGGTTCAGACCCCATCAGCTAACACACCACCCATCTTGACGGGCATGCCCGTCTCTGGTATGGCATATCTGGATCGACCTCAAGAGGCTGGCTACTTCCTGTTCCCGGATCTTTCTGTTCGTCATGAGGGCAGGTACCGATTGAGCTTCAATCTGTATGAAGAGACAAAAGAGGACAAGGATAAGGACATCGAGCGCTCCCTTGACGGAAAATCGCCCATGACCGATTCCATGCACCCGGAGCAGGCTTCATTTGACTGGAGGATGGAGGTTAAGTCGGACGACTTCAACGTCTACAGCGCCAAGAAGTTCCCTGGTCTGACTGAGAGCACTGCCCTAAGCCGGACAGTCGCCGAGCAAGGATGCCGAGTCCGAATTCGTCGCGATGTTCGCATGAGACGCCGTGATGGAAAACCTGCTGATAACTACGATAATGCCGAGGAGGAGTACGCAAGGCGGCGCCGAACCGAGACTCCCGACGAGATTCGTGCTCGTTCCTTGAGCAATGCTAGCGTTGACAGGCAGCCTTTCATGCCTGAACCACAACGACGACCCTCGGGCGTCGACTTTGCTCCTCCGCCACCCGGATTCGCTTCTGCCGACCCGTCTGTGAACAGACATCTCACCTTCGGCAGCCAGCCAAATGCACAGTATCAGCCTCAGCAGCCGTCTTCAGTGCCGCCATCACCATCTTACGGCCCTCAAGGCACTCCCTATTCTCACCCGGCCCCGTATCCCCCGGCGCAATCCCCCAGTTACCCGTACTCTGAGAGACCGCCGTCTCAACACTATTCTGCGCCGAACCCATCGCCGCAGCGCGAGACTTACCCGGTCGATTACAGACGTCACTCGACGAGCAACTACCCGCCACCTCCACCAAGCGTGTCATCAGAGAATGAATACAAGATGGCACCAACTCCGCAAGCACAGCCTCCCCCATCACAAGCCCCCGCTCAGAGGCTTTCTCTGCCATCTCTCCAGTCTCTGACCTCTGGCCTTGATGCGTCGTCTGGATTTACTCTGCCAAGCCCAACTGAGAGATCATCTTCGATGTCCCTTCCCTTCCCACAAATATCTGGTACTCAGCTCCCGCCTTTCAATCCAGCCGATTTCAGGCCTGCAATGAAGCGTTCCATTGACCAGGCCTTCCCTGGTCGGGACGACACTCTGCGATACCAGGACCATCGCCGCCAGGACGACTACAACCGTGGAGCCTACTTCGACACTGCGTTTCAATACAGGCGTGCCAATGGCGAGATCATTCATCTGCCTCCTGTGCTGTAATCAGCTATGCCACTTGCTGTCTGGTGAGGTGGCGTTCTGGCGTTGTGGGTGCCCTGATACGCAAGATGGGTATCAAAACTCAATGTGTCAACGTTGTATGTCTGCTGCTATTTGGAGCGCTTTAAGCGATTTGTCGTGTATATACTCTGGCACCAGGACCACGCGTCCCCTGGTTACTTTATTCTTGGTCAGCTGGTTTTTGCTATGTTGTCAGCCAACACACCCTCATTATACCATTGTTTTTCCTTTAGATATCCGCATCGCCGAAACCAACATTCTTCCATCTGTTCTTTTGTGGTTATTTCCGGACAAACAGGCACTTCGTTTCTTGAAATGTGATACAGGAATTGTTCTTGGGTGGGGCAGAATTTGGGGAATGGGGAAGGAAAGCAATTCACTTGGGTCACTACACCAAGTACGTGCCTTTGGGTTTAGCAAGGATTTTGTTCTGCAGTGTAATGGCCACCGCCAGTGGTTTGAGGCAATTCAATGGGCAAACTTGGGATCGGGAATTTGTAGGCAGACAGAAATAAAACACTCTTCACAAAAGTTTGGCTTTGTGACCTTGACTCGACATGAAGAGTATCTCCACATCACATCCTCTGGGAGGCTAGGATTTGGGCCCTTGGTCAGACCCTTCTCAGCCAGCGCCACTAAGGGGAGGAAACAACTTACTTCATGTTGACTACCTTATGCAATGGGGTTACTTACCCATCATCTCATGCCACAGGCTCTGTGGTGACGCGTGTGATTGAGGGTGTATAATAAAGTGGTCATTGGAGACACACGTGATGGCGGCAAGGATGCCGTGTCTTAGACCCTGGTCCGTTGCTGTTGAGACGCGACCGCGCCCCATAACACTTCCCAATAACGGCGTCTCTCGTTCTAGTTCTAGAAAAAAAGACCCCACATACCAGTCTCTATTGTTTTATCAGCATTGCCATGCATTGCGAGCTCTGGTCCAGATCTTCGAGCTGCTCTTTGTGCCAAACCTCCGGACACGCTCGAAAGAAACCTTGGAACTGTCGAGCTGGTACACGAACATCGTGCTTGTTTACCTCGAGAAACATCCCCGCCGATGCTACGCCTAAATAGCATCGTCCGCGCTCCAAACGACTTATACCAACCATCGCCAAGACTCGCTCAGCTCTTACCATCATCGCACTGCAAGCCTGAGGACAGCACACCATGACACATCGCGCAATGGCCTCCAGGCCTGGCTCGCAGGCCGGCAATGGCGTGCCGTCTGCGCAACGCGCCCAGAGCCGCTTCCTCGAGGGCTCGATGAACGACCGTGCAAGCGCGATGCCACCTCCGAATTTCCTGGGGCCCGAAGAGGCCACCATCTACGAGCAGCAGTTCTACGAGAAGAGGGCTAGCACCGCGAGCCAGTCCTCTTCTTCCTCATCGCAACAGCAGCTGCAACAGCAACAGCGCCGGCCGGGGACGGCCATCGGCGAGGTGTCGAAAAGAGGAAGCACGGGCTTCTTCGCGCCGCTGTGGGATGGGATGCGCGAGAAGCTCAGCCTGACGCGCTCTCGCTCTTCAAATAGCATTACGACGACCAGCACAGCGTCGAAGGCCGAGGACAGGGGCAAAGAGAACCGGATCTCGGCGCCGTTCCCTCTCCTTCAGCAGCAGGACGCGGCGTCGTCGGGGAAGCCGCCTAGCCGAGAGGAGATCATGCAGAACTACCAGAACCTAGTGGCCTCTGGCTTCTTCAGCTCGCACGCGATTCAGTCTACAAGGCAGCCGCCTCCGGGCCAGCAGCGGCCGCAGACGGCGAACAGAAACAGCGCGCCAGCCAACCATTCGTTCGCGCAGCGACTCGCCGCGCAGGAGATGCCGGCGCCGGACCGCGCGCCTCCTCCGGTGCCTATGTCACCGCCGAAAGCCCAGACCACATACTCCCCCTTCCCTCCTCCAACCCGGCCTGCTCCGACTCCCTTTGCCATACCATATGCTGCGACGCGACAGGCGTCTTTCGAACCTTCATCGCTTCCCACTCCAACATCTCCGCGACCTTCCGTGGATTATGACACCATGCCCTCGCCAAATAGGGGCACCAAGCGGAGCCATGCCGCCGTAGAGGTGGCCAACACTGAGGCGTCCGAGACAGGAGCGCGAAAGCTGGCCAAGAAGCTGCGGAAGTCCGCATCGCGCGTGTCCGTCGACC